TGCCTGCCTGCCTGATTACCCCTAACCACCTCTGCCTGCCTGCCTGATCAACCCTAATTGCTCCCCTACTCGCCTGATTGCCCGAACCACCTCTCCTCATCCTGCACCCAGGACTCAGGATTCCATCCTCTGGCTGGCCGCAGTGACCCAGGGCCTGTGCTGACCGTAGCCTCAGGGGATCATGGGTGGGCTTTCCCTTTCCCAGGCTTCAGGTGCAGGAGCAGCCACTGGCGCCCGGGACCATGGGGCAGGCAGCTTGTCCATCTCCCAAGCCACTAGTCTCTATTCCTCTCTTACGAGCTCATTTGTGCCTGGTTGGTCCCCATTCCTTTCTCACGAGCTCATTTGTGCCTGGCTGGTCCCCATTCCTCTCTCCCCTGTGTTGACTGTCTGAGCTGGTGTGATGAGGGTGTGATGACCATTTGCATATTAGCTCTTATTATGTAGGATATTTTTATTTATTTCAGAGAGGAAGGGAGAGGGAGAGAGAGTTAGAAACATCAATGATGAGAGAGAATCATCGATCTGCTGCTTCCTGCACACTCACTGCTGGGCATCGCGCCTGTAACTGGGCCATTTGCCCTTGGCTGGAATGGAACCTGGGACCCTTCAGTCCAGAGGCCCACGCTCTATCCACTGAGCCAAACCGGCCAGGGCCTCCTTTTCCTTTTCTTTAACCAGCACTGATGTTCATAGACAGAGCATTGGGCCCTCCTTCCAAAGGTGTCCAGAGTGTCAGGTGGTGCCCGGAGTTCCCACTTTTGAGGCCCTTCCGAGTGGAGTGCCCTGTGGGACTGACTGCACAGGTTCCTGCCTGGTCTCACTTACCATTCCTCAGCATTTTCTTGATTTCTCGGGGGTGGGGTGGGGTGTAAGGTCCTGGAGACTGGCCTTCTGTGTGTTCTTGCAAATGGACAATTGAGAAAAGCCACTCTTGGGTTTAACAACAAAGTTAACAATGGGGGTGGGAGAGGTACCCCCTTGTTTATTCCTCTATTTCCCCCCAACACAAAACACCCCCAGTAACCATGGCAACCAGGGCTCTGCCTTGATGCCTCAAAGCCCAGGATGCTCAAAGCTGTGTTTTTATGAGCAAAACTGTGGCTTTGCGTTTTGTTAGATGCCGAGATGCTTTCCCAGGGTATCCCGTTTGTCCCAGAAAAAGGAACACAAGTGTTTGACATAACGGTGCCAGCACCTCAGCATCCAGGCAGCCCGGGCAGCGTGGCAGAGGGTTCTCGGTGGCAGTGGAGTGTGCATATGTTGTGTGTGTGTGTGTGGGGGGGCCATCTGCGCCTGTGTGTATGTTGGGGTGAGGCCGCTGCTCTTAAGCGTGTCATGTTGTGGGCTAGGAGGAGGGAGTGGAGGCGGGCTGAGTGCATTCTTTCTGGAAGGGTGAGTAGGTGGGTGGCTGGCTGGGCCTCCTGCCCCCGGGGGAGTGAAATAAAAAGAAATGTGAAGGGGGTGGACCTGGGACTGAGTGAAGTGGCATTTCCTGGCCTGGGGCCTGGGGAAGGAATGCTGTGGAATTTATTTAGAAAGCCTTCAAACCAGCTGGGAATGGGTTGTTGCTTTTTTTTCTTTTTTCTTTCTTTCTTTTTTTTTTTTTTTTATACTATTCTAGTTTGTTGCTCTTGTTCTTTTCAAAGCTATAAGCATGCTCATGTGGCTGTTTGATCAAAAGCAATGTTCCCAAGGGACAGTGCCCTGACAGTCCAGAAAATAGGATGTGACTACAAGAAAGACGATGCCTGGTTAATGAGCGGGGACCTGGGCCTTGATTTCCAAAACGAGGCGTTCTTTACAGTTCAGGGACAGGAGGCCCCTGGCCCGACACTTGTGATGTTCTTTATTCATGTTTCTTTACTTTCGGAGGAGAGAGGTGGTGGTTTTGAAGTAAAGGAATTCCGCTTCTGAGTGGAGTCATTGATGTCCAGCGGTTTGCACGATTGAGGGTACCCCAGGCCTTATTTGCCCCTCCCACAAAGGCACTCCAGTTGCAACCACAGCAAGCAGGGCTATTTTAGGCTTGCCGCACGCATGGCGTTTTCTGCTCTCCTGGTGTTTTTCCATAGGACTTGGTGTCCATAATAAATTGTGTAAGCAGCCAGGGTCTGCGTTTTCTGAGACAGGAAGGGACAGCACGTCCTTGATGTCAAATGTGGATGTAAAGTCCTGCAGAGCATCGTGGCCTGTTCCCCCAGCTGAAGAGCCCAGTCCCTGCCGGAAGCTGATGGGGAAGTGCCTGGGGCAGCCTGAGGGGACCTCAGCAGACAGAGGGGGTGGGACGGATAGAGAAGTGTCCTCGGCTGGTCTTTGTGGTTTCTTTGTCCTTCTGCATTTCTGTGTCTGTATGCCAGAGGGACCTGGCAACAGTCCTTAGCCACTTGTCACAGGGTTCTCATCTGTAACCCCTGAGCTTGTTCCCACAGAGACAGTCCGCCCTCCTGCTTGACCCTCCCCTGTGGACTTGGGTGTCCGACCTTCTGTCCTGCCACCCGTACATGGGGCCGTCTGTGGTTTTCTTCTTGCTTCCCTAACGGACCTTCTGTGTCATCTACATTTTCTAGGGATGGACCTTCCTCTTCTCCATAACCTTCCATGGTTCCCACTGCTCCACAGCTGTGCTCTCCCGCAGAACCAGGAAATGGGCCACATAGGTATTTTAGATGGTTTAGTAGCCACATTTTTTTAAATTGAAAAGAAACAGCTGAAATGCATTTTAACATCGTACTGTAACTCACCTCCATATATCCGAAATAGTATCGTTTTGACATACAGCCGATATTTAAAAATTATAAACAAGATATTTCACATTCATGTATTTTAAAGTACTTGAAATCTAGGGTGTATTTTACATCGACGTATCCCAAATTAGATGCTAAAATATATATATATATATATATATATATATATATATATATATATATATATATATATATAATTGATTTTTTTAAAGAGAGAGAGGGAGAGGGAGAGGGGTAGAAAGTTAGAAACATCAATGAGAGAGAAACATCAATTCAGCTGCCTCCTGCAACCAAGGTACATGCCCTTGACCGGAATCTTACCTGGGACCCTTCAGTCTGCAGGCCGATGCTCTATTCACTGAGCCAAACCGGTTCAGGCAGTGGTCGGCAACAGAACCAAATATCAACAGTACAACGATTGAAATTTCTTTTGAGAGCCAAATTTTTAAAACTTAAACTTCTAATGCCACTTCTTCAAAACAGACTTGCCCAGACCGTGGTATTTTGTGGAAGAGCCACACTCAAGGGGCCAAAGAGCCACATGTGGCTCGAGAGCCACAGTTTGCCAACCATGGGGTTAGGGCAAAAAAAACATTCGGTCTCGATTCAGAGTGTATTAAATTTGCTGTTGCAAAAGTATCGATTCACCTACCTGAGGTGTCCCAGACTTACATACACGTGTTCTAGTCAATGAATTCCATATTCAGTTTTAAATTTAGATTGCTTAGACTTAAAAACAATTTGAGCATCCAGTTCCTCCGTCACGCTGGCCGTATTTAGTGTTCAATAGCCTTGTGAGGCTGGTGGCGACCCTGTTAACCCATATAGAGAACATTCCACCCTCCCAGAGAGTTCCACTGGACAGCCCGGTCTTATCAAGTCCAAACAGCCCAAAAGGACTTTCAAAATTTTCAACAGCCGAGCCCCAAACCAAGCCCTATGTATTGACTTTGTCTTGCGCGTGTCCACTTCCCGGTGACTCTCTTTCCACTTTGAAATACACGCCCTTCTCTCCCCCCAGAGAAGTCTTTTTTCATGCTTGGCTGGACAGCAGCGCTTCCTCAAAGGATTCTGCCCTTCTCCCCGCAGCAGAATGAATTGCTGCCTCTGCTCCCCACGGGTTCGAGAAGACCCAGCCGGATGGGCAGGGGTCGCAGGCCCGTCGGAGCCCGGGCCCGGCCCATGGCTCGCTGCCCCGGGAGCTCATACCCCATCTCTCCTGGGACAGGTTTGAATGGATCTCCTAACAGCAGCCTTGGCCCTGCCCCGTTGGAACACAGAGCCGCACAAAGGATGGCCCTGTGTCCTCCCCGCGGCTGCCCGGGGGCTGGGAGCCGGGCCGTCAGACCGGAGCGCACCCTGGGTGCGGGCCATGTAATTCTAGGCGGGCATCGGCTCCATCGGCTCCGAGAGGAAAAAAACAACCCTTTCTTCGCCCTCACAAAAGGAAATGTGGGCCTGGCCGCTCGGAGACTCATTTTCCAAACTAGGAACCGTGTGTGTGTGTGTGTGTGTGTGTGTGTGTGTGTTCTTTTTAAAGAACTATAATATCATATATACAGGAAGTACATAATTGTACAACTCAGATGTTCGCAAAGTTAGCGTGCACATGTAACCAGTCCCCCCGATGAGGAAAGATAACATGACCGGCACCCCAAAAAGGCCTCCTTCCCACCCCCTCCACCCTCTTCCCCGCCTCCTCGGAGTGCCCCCTTTCCTGCTTTCTAACCCATGACTCATCTCGCCTGTTTCGGAACTGTGTGTCCAGGGAGGGCATGGCGGGCTGTGCGTTTCTGGCGTCTGGCTTTTGCTCAGCACTCTGTTTGCGTAGCTTGTGGTTGGTTTCGAATGCCTTGGTCCTTTCTGGCATTGGAAACTATTCGTAAAAAAAAACCCGTGGTGGTTCAAAACGAAGCAGACACTCGGTGTGAAAGACAGGTTGCTGTTGGGTGGCGGTCTGAAGTGTGAAGAACCTTTTGCTTCCGTTCGTTCTGAGACGTTTGTCCTCGGGGTTTTCTAGGATTGGGCGATTTTCGGTTGTCCAAATTATTTACCTTTAATCTTTACTTAATGAATTCTGATTAAGGTGATCATTCTTGGGTCTTGGAAAGATGTGAACTCCCTGTCTGGCAATTCTTCAGGTTTTCTTTGTGTCGGGTAGAAAGTTAAAGAAGAGGGTGGAGGAGAGCGAGCAAGAGACAGAGAGAGCTGTCCATTAAATTGCTTATGTGGTGTCTTCTGGTTTTGCCGTAGGTGAAATGTCTGCTCCGGGATTGTACCAGGCGGCCGCCGGGCCCTCATCGGCCCCCTCCGCGCCCCCAACTTACGAAGAGACGGTGGCCATTAACAACTACTTCCCCACGCCTCCTGCGCCCATGCCCGGGCCCACCACGGGGCTGGTGACCGGCCCCGATGGGAAGGGCATGAACCCTCCTGGGTACTACACCCAGCCAATGCCCGTCCCCAACACCAATCCAAGTACGTGCGACCTCCCCTCCCACCGCTCCGCCTCCCTGTCCCCCTTCCCGCCCCGGCCTCCAGTCCGGTTTTCCTCCGTGTGAAACGTTACATACAGTCTCGCAGGTTCCGCACCGCTGAGGCTCACGGCTTTCCCACGATCAAGGACCGTTTATGAGCTTCCTCAAGTCCGCCATAAATCACCCCTTTGGCACTCACACTGTGCCGGAGAAATCTGGCAACGGCGGCTTGCTTTCAGAGACCTCACCCTCCCCACCGGGGTTTGCTAGAAGCCTGGGCCCTGAGTGGAGGGCGGGAGTCAGAGCCGGAGGAGAAGCCGCCCCGCGTGAGGAATGGGGGAGCAGAAACCCCTCCCCCAGCAGAGCCCCCCAGCGCTCCATGTGCACAGGTGCTCCCCTGCCTCCCACAACTTTATTTTTATACTAAACCTCTCAGGGTTTAGTATCCAACACACATGAAGAACGCATACAGCTTAACGCCAAGAAGACAACCCAGTTAAGAAACGAGCAGACAGCCTGAAATAACACTTCTCCAAAGGGGACACACAGATGGCCAGCAGACAGGAAGATTTAGGCTCCTTGTCACTAAGCATCAGAGAGACACAAATCAATACCACAATCAAGTATCACCTCACACCTGTCAAAAGGGGATGGGGTGGGGGGCTTCTTCCCAAGCTTGTTCTCCAGTCATTGCCTCCCGAACTACCTGAAAAGAAAGCTCATGTAACCAAGCGCACCATGTGCTGTGCACAGAGGGCTCATGGCTGAGGCCAGGCGGTGCTTCCGAGAGCGAGCGCGGGGCTGCCCGTGGGCCCCGCAGGACTGACCTCCGGGGCAGACAGGGTCTCGGCTCACCCGCGTTCATTTGTGTCGCCCGGAGAAGACACCCGTGTGGACACGACACGTACAGTCCGTGTGCAAGGACAGTCTCACCCCATCGGCCCTCACACCTTTTAGGTCACCGCTCTCAGCACTGAGGTCCCCTCCAACATTTCTCTCTGCAGACATAATGAATACAAATACATATTCTTCCACTTCCTTTTCTTACAGAAACGGGTAGCGTGCTATACACGTGCTGTGTGTGTGTATGTATATTCTTTTGTACCTTGTTTTTTTCCCCCTCCTCCACTTTCCAAAGTGTCCATATGAGTCCACAGACAACATCTTCGTTCCCTTTTACAGTGCCGACAGAGTATCATGTCCAACTTTAGAAATGTTGCCGGCCTGGTCAATAAAAAAAATGTTATCTTAGTACAGTTTTAAATTTCATGCACCTTAGAACGCAGGAGGCTTATCATCTTTTCATTTGTTTAAGCCCATCTGTATTTCCTAATAATAACTCCTCTTTTTGCTGGAATTCGCTGAAGCAGGTTCCTGTAGTTTGCATACTGTCAATGCTGTTTTATTTATTTTTAAAATATATTTTATTGATTTTTTACAGAGAAGAAGGGAGAGGGATAGAGAGCTAGAAACATCGATGAGAGAGAAACATTGATCAGCTGCCTCCTGCACACCCCCTACTTGGGGATGTGCCCGCAACCAAGGTACAAGCCCTTGACCAGAATCAAACCTGGGACCTTTCAGTCTGCAGGCCGACACTCTATCCACTGAGCCAAACCAGTTAGGGTACTGTCACGCTGCTTTAAACCCCTTTTTCCCGGAAGCCAAAGTGTTTCTTCATGCCCTTATTTTGATTTCAGTCTTTGAAGGACTAACATGGAAGAGCTGGATTTTGCCCCAAGTGTCTGTCCTTCTAGAGATTAAGGAAAAGGGGTCTAAGGTGAGGAGAGGTGGGCTCTGTCTCCAGCTTCCCAGACTTGATCGAGTTTTGCTGCTAAATGCTTGAGTTGGGAACAAGCAATAGCGTGGCCTGTTGATCATGATTTAATAACTCCACAAACATCCACAGATGGGACATTCTTATAACTTTTTCCTTTCTTCTCTTCGTGTCTTCTCTTACTCTTTCTGCTTTTGTTATTCCATACATTATTCGGGGTTAGAATTCTGATAGGTCTCCCAGGCTGAAACGAAGGTCTAGGTGGAACTGCTTTCCTTCCTCTAGGCTCTAGGAGAGAATCCATCCCCTTGCCTGCCCCACTTCTTGTCTCATGGCCCCCTTTCTCCATCCTTAAAGCCACACCAGCAATCCAAGTCCTGCTCACTGTCACATGGATAAGGGCAGAGATAGGATACTGGGGGCCCACTAGAGTTGTAAGAAGTATTAACCATGCTCTGTTAACCATGATGGTTTTGTTCTGATGAAAGAAGGCACATTCTAGCCCGGCTGGGAGCTCACCTGGAGATGCAGCCCATCCTCCCCCTCAGGGAGCTGCCTGTTATCAGGGCAAGTTTAACAACCTTGTTGCAGAAACCAGAGTGACCAGCCCTTTGAAGACCCCCCAGCCTTTGCATACCCACGGGCCTTTGCAAATCTTCCGACCTGTCAACTGCCCATTTGGCATAACCTTTTGCCTATTGACTCGCCCTTTGAAGACTCCCAGCCATTGCAAATCTCCAGCCCCCATTATCTGTTGCCTACTTCCCCATGTAATCTTTGTCCTTCTGCCCACTATAAGCAGCTGGTTTGGGGGGGCGGGGGGCTGCAGAGCAGATTTTTGTGGGTGACCTGCTGCTCTCTCACACTGCTGGCAGTATGGGAATAGCCACTCATAGGTGACTCCACCCTGTCTCTGCTTAATTGGCTCAAGTACTGACAGGCGGCCCAGGCCCATTGATTGTCTGTCTGGTTACAACATCACATTATTGCTTCATGGCCACAGCCCCTGGCCTGTGTCCCTTGGCGGGGGAGTTCCTGCTGCCGAGGGAGGGACACAGCTGATTCAAAATCACAAGCAGCTCAGGAGGAAATCGCCTGCTCAGAGAGTGGTCCCCCGGGTCTGCTCGGGTCACCTCACCCGCTTGGGCCTCAGTTTCCCCATCTGTAAGTAAGTAAGGGCTCATCGGGTACCTCTATCAGTGAGTTCTTAAAATGAGATAACATTTTATGAGGAATCATTTCATAAAAGTGCTCAGGTGACTTTGACCCCTCGAGAAGGGAGGGGACAAGATAACTTTTGATTATCTTAGTTCGCCGCTCTCTGCTCGATAAATGACTCATTCTTGCTGGCCACCCTCAACCCCACCCCAAAAGTCTTACTAAAACTGACATGCAGGTGCTAAAGCAGGCGTCAGGCTCACCTAGCCCTGGGCGGCGTTCATTTCCTCTGAGGCAGGGGCATTCAGCAGCCCAAGGGCGGTCCAGGAGGAAGTCCCCGTGACAGAAATATGAGCTTCAACACCTTTGCCAAACACCACAAAGAACACGCAAAACGCGCAGGGCTTTGGGACTGACATGCCTAGATCCTCTCCAATTGCGAATGTCTGTCTGGACACGTCTGCCGTGGAGTTTCCTCTCTTTGGCATGACCTCACATCCTCGCTGCATGTGCTCAGGTGGTTCCCGGGCTTGTCCTGCTCGGTGACCCGGCCTTTCCCCTGGCATTGAGTTGGTAAAGGGGCCTGTTTTATGAAAAGAGGGAGTTGTTTATCGAGGAGCCCTCTGTCCCAGAACCGGTGAGAGGTTCTTCCTTTACCAGCATTATCTTACTTAATCCCAACAACAACTCTGTTACATCCATTTCTTATTTTATTTTATTTTTTAAATATATTGATTTTTTTTTTTTTTTTTAAGAGGAAGGGATAGGGAGTTAGAAACATTGATGAGAGAGAAACATCAATTAGTTGCCTCCTACTGAGGATGTGCCCGAAACCAAGGTACATGCCCTTGACCGGAATCGAACCTGGGGCCCTTCAGTTCACAGGCTGATGCTCTATCCACTGAGCCAAACCTGTTAGGGCTACATCCATTTTTTAAATAACAGCTTCATTCAAATATAATTCTCAGACCGGAAGGCTCAGTCTCTTTAAGTGTACAACTCACTGGTTTCTGCCTGTTTGCAGCACTAATTCCAGAATGTCCCATCACCCAGAAAGAAATCCTGTACCTTCTACACCCGTTAGCAGTCATTCCCCAGCCCCTGGCTGTCTAATCTGTGGGTGAGGGAAACGGGAGCGAAAACCGGCCATGTCACAGTCTCTGAGATTACCATCCGCAGACCACAGTCGCAGAACCATTCGGAACTTAACACAGTTTGGGGACTCTTCCCGGACCGGCTGGATCAGGCTGTGCCGGGGCGGGGCCCGGGCACCTGCATTGTCAGCTCCTCCCATGGCTCCATGGCCAGTTGCCTTTGGAAGCCTGGCCCAGCTGAGCACAGGCCTTGCCCCGCTCGCCTGTGGGGTTCTGAATGTCCCTCAAAGGATATTTCTGGAAATCTGCCACTTTCCTCTTTTTCCCTTTTTGTCATCCCCCCTATTATTTTTAATATTAGATTTGTGTGGGTTTAAAAAAAAAAAATATATTAGAATTGTGTGTTTTTTAATAGCGCATACATGCCAGAGCAAAGTGCTGCACATACAACTGCAGGTCATTTTGGGGGGAGCGTGTGAGAAATAAAAGTGCAGCTGCTTTAGTTGTGCAGTCCCACCTCAAGGGAGGAATCCGCAGTGAAGGTGCTCCGGCCCCTGGCAGCAGCTTCCTGGTGGTGCTGCCCAATTTCTGCAGCCCCGGGCCTCTCCACCTCATTTTTTAAGTTAAGGTAAAATCTATGCTAATTAAAGGGTAATATGCTAATTAACCGGGTCAACCAGACATCTTCTGGCCATCTGACTTCCAGACAGTTAGAGGGCAACCAGGCCAGCAGGGGGCCAATTAGGGGGAGATCAGGCCAGCAGGGGGTTAGTTAGTGGGGAACCAGGGTGCGATGGGGCCTAAACTGACAGTGGGACATACCCCGAGGAGTCCCAGATTGGAGAGGGTGCAGGCCGGGCTGAGGGACACCCCCCCCCCCACCCACCCATGCACAAATTTTGTGCACCAGGCCTCTAGTATACAACATAAAATATATCATCTTAAGCATTTCCAAGTATAAGTTCAGTGGCATTAAGCACATTCATATCATTGTGCCACCACCACCCATTTCCAGAACTTTTCCATATTGTAAAACTGAAACTCTGTCTCCATTAACTCCGCAGCCTCCTCCCTCAGCTCCTGACAACCACCGTCCACTTTCTGTCTATGAGTGTGACTTCTCGAGGTGCCTCCTGGATGAGGGATCCGGCAGCATCTGTCCTTTCTTGTCTGGCTTATTTCACCGAGTGTAACATCCTCAAGGTCCATCCATGGTGCATATGTGAAGGCGGAATCATACTCCGCTGTATGGATGGACCACATTTTGCTTATCTGTTCACCCATCGGAGGACATTTGGCTCTAGAAATAGTGCTGCTGTGAACAGGGGTGTGCCTCCACCTTGTCTTCTAACAGATGTTTCCTGGTTTACTGAGCGGCTCTCTCCTCTTCCCTCCCATCAGTTACCGTGCAGACGGTCTACGTGCAGCAGCCGGTCTCCTTTTTCGACCGCCCGGTCCAGATGTGCTGCCCTTCCTGCAACAAGATGATTGTGACCCAGCTGTCCTACAACGCCGGCGCCCTCACCTGGCTCTCCTGTGGGAGCCTGTGCCTGCTCGGGTAAGCCAGGTCCCCTCGGAACCCCGGCTCTCCCTCATTCCTCGCTCGCAGGGTTTCTCAGCGGTAGCACGCACTTCTGTCTCATGGGGTGCCGTCCTACGCATGGAGGACGTTGCTCAGCATCCCTGGCCTCCACCCACTGTGTGCCAGGAGCTCCTCCGAAAATCGTGATAAATAGGAATCGTCTCCTGTTGAGAACCACTGCTCCTGAGCATCTCAAAGCTTGGGAGCTGCTGTCCCATCATTGCTTCTTTCTTGTTCGTTTGTTAATCCACACACGAGGGTATTTTCCCATTGACTTTTAGAGAGAGTGGAAGAGAGAGAGGGAAGGAGGGAGGGAGAGAACCATCCAGGTGTGAGAGACACATCAATTGGTTGCCTCCTGCACACACCCCAACCAGGAATGGGGATCGAACCTGCTATCCAGGTGTGTGCCCTTGATTGGGAATTGAACCCGAGACCCTTCGGTGTGGGGATTGATGCTATAACCCCTGAGTTATACCGGCCAAGACCCATAATTCCCTCTTGCTCATCTGCTCACACCACTCCCTCTATGACATATAGTGTATGCAGTGCCCGGCAGAGCATCCCCGTGCGTCTTATAGCGTGATACCTTAGGGATCTCTGTTCCTTCCAGGATTCCGTGGTCTAAATCACAGTGTTTGCCTCTCTCCGAGAGAAGCTTTAAACATCTGCACATTACATATACTCGATAGTCATCGCTTTAAAATGTCTTACCCTTTTATGAGCCCAAGTGTTTTTCCCATTGCCTCCACAAGGGGATGTGTAAATATTTATGTCTGCCCCAAGGACATTTTATTGAAAGAGACAATAATTTCTGTTCTGAGAGAAACTTGAAGATACACAATTTAATCCCCTGCGCCCTCCCCCCTCCCCCAACAGATCCAGGCAGCCTCCTGGCTCCTGGCCGTGGACTCTCTCGGAAAACCTTGGGGCTCTGTGTTCTTCCCCAGAGGCAGGGTGTTCGTGCGTTTCTTTTCAGGAGCCCGGCCTCTTGTGCGACTGGCTCTGCCTCCTTTGCTGCAGGCCTGGAGAAGGCCCTGCCTGGGCCTGCTGGTTGCGTGGGTTAGAGACAGTATTGGGGGGAACTTTGTGTGGTGGCTGCTGTAAGAAGCAGCCTCTCCACGTGGAAAGGGGATCAGTCCGAGACAGAGGTCAGCAAACTCCAGCCTGCTGTGAGGTGGACTGGAACACATCACCTCCGTCTATGGGTCATGACCTCTGGCTGCTTTCACACTGCAGCGCGGATAAAAGAGGTGCTCTCTGGCCCTGCACCAAAGAGGCCCCCCCAACCTTGGTCTGAGGCTCTGGAAGGCGCCCAGATAACCCAGGACTTGAAAACACACTCGGCACAGTCTGTCGGTGGGAGCAGGCTTGGCAGTGGTTGGCGTAGTCCTTTCCTAGAGCTGCCATAACAAATGACCTCAAACCTGTTGGTTCAGAACAATAAGGATTGATTCTCTCTCAATTTTGGAGGCTTGAAGTCCAAAATCAAGGTGCCATTACCCCCCCCCCCCCCCCCCAATATTCCCCTAAGGCTTTAAAGCAGTGGTTCTCAACCTTCCTGATGCCGCAACCCTTTAATACAGTTCCTCATGTTGTGGTGACCCCCAACCATAAAATTATTTCGCTGCTACTTCTTAACCGTAATGTTGCTACTGTTAACGAATCGGAGTGTAAATACTGTGTTTTCCGATAGTCTTAGGCAGCGGTTCTCATGTATTATAATAAGATATCCATGATCATTCTATACGTTGCTTGCCACAAACCTGGAATCAACCATTTGTTCAGGAAGACTTGTATTCTTTAATGGGAAATACATTTATAGGCCATGGTCTTGGCATTTTAAGGGGAGAAAGCATGCACTCTAGATTGGGCAGTCTGGGAGACCAGTAAAATAAAATGCTAGCAGGGTCCCCTAAGACCATCGGAAAACACAGATGTTTACATTACGACTCATTAACAGTAGAAGCGTTACAGTTATGGAGGAGTACCGGAAATGGGAACTGTGGTAAAGGGTCGCGGCATCAGAAAGGTTGAGAACCACTGCTCTGAGGGGAGAGTGCTTCCTGCCTCTTCCGGCTTCGGGAGGCCCAGTGTCCTTGGCTTGTGGCTGCATCACTGCCACCGTCTTCACGTGGCCTTTCCCCCCCCTGTGTCTCTGTATGTGTCCTGCTATAAGGATACCAGTCATTGGGTTTAGGGTAAGGTGACCAAATGTTTTTGCAAAATTCGAGACTTTTTTAAAATGCCGCGGGACGCGGGACAGATTGTTAAAAGGCGGGACTGTCCCGCCAAAAGCGAGACGTCTGGTCACCTTAGTTTAGGGGGCCAGCTGAATACTCCGTCATGACTTCATCTTGAGGTTAATTCTATCTGCAAAGTCCCTTTCTCCAAATAAAAGTCCCATGCACAGGTTCCGGAGGGGGGGGGGGGCCTAGGATGTCTCCACCGTCCCCACGGCTGCGGTCGCTAACCCGCCCCGCGGGGGCCGTGCTTGTCTCCAGGTGCATCGCGGGCTGCTGCTTCATCCCCTTCTGCGTGGACGCCCTGCAGGACGTGGACCATTACTGTCCCAACTGCAAAGCTCTCCTCGGCACCTACAAGCGTCTGTAGGACTCGGCCAGACCTGGAGGAGGGAGCCGTGTGCATGGCAGGAAGTCCTTCCCGACCCTCTCTGGCTCCACCCCTGACGGAGGAGGGTCCACCTCAGTGGTCTCATCTCTCCGTCTCTTCTTGTCTTCTTTTATTGGGGGGGAAATATCGCAAAAGCAACTCACTTCCCGGCCCCAGAAACTGCTGCTTGGAGTCGTGCACAGGACATGCAAAGACATTGACCTTGAGGACTGGGTCAAGGGTTTTCCCGCCTGCCCACGACCCAAGCCGTCCGTCCAACTGTGATCGTTGCCCCGCCTGGATATTTTCTGGTGATTCGCCTTGCCAGCTTCTTTTCTCACCTCCGTGGGCCGTTCCGGGGGCTGCTCAGACTGAGGAGTCACAGCAGGCTTTGTTCCTGAGGCCGCTGTGGCCTGGATAGGACTAAGCCAGCCTGTAGCGCTGCCATTGCACCCTCTGTCCTCACGTCTGATGGCAGCAGTCTTGCCTTAAGGCCTCGGCTCTCGGATTCTGTAACCGCAGGCTTTCTGCTCACACGAAAATCCACTTTCATTTTTTTTTACTTCGTTTTTAACGACACGCCCAGGCCCCAGCCCCACAGGAGCGGGCCCGCTTCCCTCCGTTCTGGGTGCCAGACCCTCCGCCACTTTTCACGAAGGGCTTTTTCTGGTGGAGAGATTATTATTTGTATGAACCGTTTTTACGACCCTTTGGCCTTAAACTGCCTTGGAACGTGATTTTGACAGAAGGGGTTTTATAGAACCATTTTCTGTGGCCGTATAATTGGTGTCATTTTCCCGTTTGCCAGGGCACTCTCGTATAAATATATCTATTTTTTCCTCAATAGAAAAAGCCACAGGGAACTGCATTCCCGGCCTTCCCTTGGGCCTCAGTGTGGTCCTTACGAACCTCTGTCAGGGAACTCAGAGCCGGGCCCCCTTTGGGGGTGTGTTTGGAAAGACGAGGAAAAGCACGTGTGAGCATGTCGGGTTCCATGGTGCTGGAGAGTGTGGGCCCTGAGTGATGTCAAAGGAATCTAAAGTCTGGTTTTTAGTTTTCAGAAGTAGAATTTGTTGTATAGCCTCGGGAGACATGATTTCTGGGACTCCAGCAGCAAGCCAGGCTCCTCGGGCGGCTGCTGCGTCATCTCTGAAATCGAGACAAAGCCGGACTCGACCTCCCCGAGTCCCCATTTTGATACTAAGTAGGTCCAAGGAGTGCATGTGAATAATATCATTTAGAAATCAAGCCTCGTCCTTGAGTGGAAAATCTGTGTTACCGGCTGAGAATTAGTCATGATCATTGATTCAGCGCATTCATTTGATGTTTTCGAAGTTTCGGTAATTTTATTGTTTTTCTCAACGAATATGGATACTACATTGTACTTTGGTGTTTATATCTGCTTTAAAAACATAAATAAATAAAGTCTTTGGTTCACGTGGTGAACTATTTATCTACTCTTCCCGTGCAAAGGGAGGCCTCGTGCTTCTCGTCCCCGTGACGAAGGACCTTTATCTGCCCCGTCGCAGTGGAATTCGGACCCACTGCGTAGTCCGCAGTGCCAAGATGCAGACCCGGAGCTGGGTGGGTTGCTGGTGAGTCCGATTTGAGCGTTAGGCTGTTGGGACTCAACAGGCGTCATCGGTGGCAGCCAGCCACAGCTTTCTAGTTTTAATAAAATGCACAGAAGAGAGCTGTCCCCATTCATTCTCCGAACAACACACGCTTTGTTCACGGGTCCGGGTGGCTGTGGCCGCTGAAAGGAGAGCTTTGTCACCCGCAGGGAGTGGGACTGCCATCCTCCCTTCCCTACCTGGCGACACGGCTTTCTTCTGGCAGATGCAGGAGAATAATGTCCTCGGTGTGGCGAACGTCGTCATTTAAACCCATCTTAGGGTCTCGGAAAAGTGCCCCTCCCTCAGTTTGGCTCCTGCGTTTTCCTTTTCATTTGACAAAATGGAGAGCCATGCATATTCAGCAGTTTTGTTCAGAGGGTGGTCCAGGAAGGGTTTCCAAGCTGCTATTAATTATATATGCAGTCTTCAAAACAAGAGCCCTGCTTCAGGGGCCATGAGTTATCCGGTGGGACCTTTAATGTCAGATGCCTGGAGACTCCCTCCAAAACCTGGGCTCCGCTGTGCACTTATTGGACCTGCCATTTCATTGTCCCGTGTTCAGGGCTCACTCCTGTCTGTGTACCGACTGAAGGCTCTTCCGTTCTGCCACTGTTTGTTAGGGATGTTGGCGTGCAAAGACTGAGTCACATTCGCTTAATAAAGGTGTTTGTATCTATCGATCTCAGTGAAGAATTCTACCAATTTCTGAATCCCACATGGCTGTGTTTCATATACACCGTTAGGCCATCGAGGTGAGTATGGAAGAGTTGCTTTGTGTCTTGTTCACAAAACCGATTCAGTTATTGCATCTAGCTAAGCCAACTTGAAGCACATGACCGATTCCTGGCAGATCACGGCACTGCCCATGAAAAAAAAAATTTTTTTTTTCTGGCACAACTGGCTTCCCAGTGGCTATTGCGAACTCTTGGATAGGCACCGAACTATTTCTAAATGTGGCGTCCTACACACGTGGCCTCGGTTTTCTTCCCAGTGACAGCCTCTTATGTATGGGATGCCAAAATCCTTCTGACTTTCTGGGGTCAAAGGTCTCCATTAGGAGTAAGTATGGAGCTTGTACTTTGACTTCCAAAGTTCCTATTTGCATTTTGAAGCCTTTTAAAGTTATCGCCTGCATTTAAGACTCACATGTTTACAATGAGTCATCTGTTTGTCAGAGACACATGAGGGATTGAAAATAGACCCAACCCAGTAAGGGTGATGAAAGAGAAAGGAGATTTTTAGGTCTAGAATTTTAAAGAAACAGGATTCTGAGGCTCAGAAAGATTAAAAAAGAAAACGACAACACAAAACGCTTCATGGCCTAGCATACAGTCTGGTGCATTAACTGTTTTTGCGACTGTTCTCTGTGGTATTAGGAAAATGTTCACATATTTAAGTACCCTTTTCCCCTAAAAATAAACTTTTCTCAGAGCAGTTTTAGGTTTATGGCAAATTGAGAAGAAAGAACAGAGTTCCCATATGCCTCACACATGCCCAGATTCCCCCGTTAACAAATCCTCACCTGACTGGCCCATTCGGTACAACTGACAACCTACATTGATACACCATCCCCCCAAGCCTGTAGTTTGCATTGCAGCTCACTCTGGTGCGTGTGCAGTGGGTTTGAACAAACGTATAAGGACGTGTCCATCATTACAGCGTCACAGAGAGGAGCTCCAATGCCCTGCAAGTCCTCTCTTCCACCTGTTCATCCTCCCAACCCCCAGCCCCTGGCACCCACCGATCCATCTGTTTATTGTCTCCACGGTTCTGCCTTTTCCCAAATGTCAAACAGTGGGAACAGGGTTGTATGCTTTTCATCCCGGCTGCTCTCACTCATGCATTTAAGTCCTCTCCGTTCCTTCCTTTCTAGCTCTGAAGAGTGTTCCATTGTTCGGGTAAGCCACATATTGAATTACTTTTTTTAAAAAAATATATTTTTTTATTGATATTTTACAGAGAGGAAGGGAGAGAGATAGAGAGCTAGAAATGTCGATGAGAGAGAAACATCAAGCAGCTGCCTCTTGCACACCCCCTACCGGGGATGTGCCTGCAACCAAGGTACATGCCCTTGACCGGAATCGAACCCGGGACCTTTCAGTCGGCAGACCGACACTCTATCCACTGAGCCAAACCGGTTTCGGCTTGAATTACTTCTGTTGTTGTTGTTCATCTTCACCCAGGGATATTTCCCCATTGATTTTTGGAGAGAGGAGAAGGGACGGGGAGAGACAGAGAGGAAGAGAGACATCAATTGGTTGCCTCCTGCAGGCGCCTGCAACCAAGGTTCGTGCTCTTGATGGAAACTGAACTGGGACCCTTCAGTCTGAGGGCCAACACTCTAGCCACTGAGCAATCTGGCTAGGGCACATTTAAGTGCTTTTAAAGTTCTTAACACGGTAGTGTCTCACGTGATCTTGTACTGGATTTCCCAAATGGACAAAATCAACTTAGTGTGTCAACATCACGTGTCATCATAGTGTACGGTGGAGTTTTGAAACCTGTGGCTCTATGGCTGTGTATGTGTGGGGGTCACAGGGCAAAAGGAGCGCCCAGGGCAACATCTGGTAGCCTCTGATCTGGCACATCCTATAGCTGTGGTCCTCATGTTTCTCGCTGACTGACCTCGGCTGTATTTGAGATGTTGGATGGTCCGGGTACCAAACCCAGCCCTGCCTGGGAAGAGTGAGCAGTGGGCTCAGCCCTGCCCTGCCCACTTTCCTGATGGCTTCTTTAAGACAAACAAAAACCCCACTAAAACTCGCCTGACATTAACATGTGTAATTCAATGTCATGCAGTACATTCACGGTGTACAACCATCACCAAAACATTTCATCAGCCCACCTAAAACTCCCCACCCCTCAGCACCTGGCAGCACCACGTTCCCTCTTGTTCTTTGGATTTGCTTACTCTAGATATTTCTTTCCTATAAACGGAATCATGTAATATGTGCCCTGCTGTGTCTGGCTTCTTTCACTTAGCATCATGTTTTTAAGGTTCATCCAGCACAGCAGGTGTCACTGCTTTGTTCCTTTCCCACCCCCGTTTAATATTTTTATTGATTTTAGATGTGGAGGAAGGGAGAGAGAGAGAGAGAAAGAGAAACATCGATGTGAGAGCAGAACGTTGATCGGCAGCCTCCTGCACACCCCCATATCCAGGATCAAGCCTACAACCCGGGCATGTGAAGACCAGGAATAGAACCGGCAACCTTTCCGTGCATGGGACGCCACTCCACCCACTGAGCACCACCGGCCAGGTTTGTGCTTTTGTCCTGTTTAGTGGGAGAATTACTGTATGTTTATTCCGTATTTTGTTGATGCCCCATCCACTGATGAATATTTGGCCCCGCCACCTTTGGGCCAGCACAGGCAACGCTGCTGTAACATTGGATCACGGGCCTTTGTATGGACATATGTTTTCATTCTCTTGGATGTGGAATTGCTGAGTCATGGAAACCCAGTTTAACTTGTTGAGGAGCTGCCCAGTGACGTCTTAAATGTTCCCTATTGCACAGCCACATCTGGCACGGCCGCCCATTGGCACCGCCCAGGAATAGAGAGAGAACTTTGCCATCGTCTCTCCCGAGAGCCATGGGAGCAGCCTGGCGGCAACAGAGCCAGATTCGGAGCAAG